GTCGATTGTTGTCGCAACGGTGGCGGCGCCTCTCCTCGCACGACGAACGAAGGGGAAAACGAACGAACGCGAACAGATATCGCGAATCTCGCCGTTGATCTCGATGACACTTCTCCCCCGCTTCCCCGGCACGCGTAATCCTAGATAGTTCAATTAACTGCGGAGAGAAATACGCGATAACCCCCGGCCCCCATAAGAACAGAAAGATACAAACACCTGCGCCACGTTGTCGCACGCACGAGAAATTCCTCCTAGGCGCTGGTCGATTCCGTGGGAGTCGATATCCGGGAAATAAATCCGACGCGCTCGGTGGTTCAAACTCCCGGCGACGCGAAGGATGAACTTTTCCAACTCCGCATCTTAGTGATATACTTGGGGAATGAACTGATTATACTAATTATAGTCGCTCGGTTATTACGGAAAGTTTGGGTCGTTGTAAAAAGGGACTTTGCACGCGCGCGAATGCGAAATCATCATACATTCGGGAGCAGATTCAGCATTGAAAAAGCCGTTAACAAATCATTCTAATGAAATTCAATCGAGAACCCGAAATTCAATCGTTATTCCACTGACACAAATTCGTGGAAAATGCGTGGGGAAAAATACGAAACAACCACCTCCGCGCTTTCTCCGCGAGTTTGAACCCCGCGAGTCTCCATCTTCCACATGTCGCGTTTGTTGATAAATCAATAAAGAAAAATAAAAAAAAAATAGAACATACAGACAAACTCGAAGTCGTGTATGAAAAATGTGATTTTTCGCCGAAGTGAGAGAAAACGAGTAAGTATCTCATGTGCCGTCATCGGAACCAAACCAAGCCAACGATGACGTATGCGCGCGGTCCTCTGTCGTCGCGTCTATCCGAGTGGAATCCAAATAAAAAAAAAAAAGGAAAGAAAAAGTTCTACGATGTATACGATCCGGAGGAAACGGTCTCGGAGAATTAGCTTTAAAGAGGGTGATACTCCGCGCGCGCGGGACTAACGATCACTCGGCAATCTCTTGGCGCGAATACAGATTCGCGAAATCGCACAACAGAGGTGGATCCGCTTGTCGCAGCACCTCCGAGGTTCGGGAGCTCACTCACTCACTCTCTCTTACTCTCGACGTGATATCGTTATCGGCGATAACGAGCTCGCGGTCGTCGCGAGCGCGCGACCGAGATGTAAATACGGAGGGCGTCCGACAGTTCGTTGCACAGCCGCGGGATGTAAAGTAGAAGCCCCTCGAGCTGAACATAAAATACCTCTACCATGTCGCGAATAACCCCGCAGAATTCTGTGTTATTAATCAAAGAAGATTAGTGAATATGGCCACACGCGATATGGTGGAAAGATACTGGAATCCCTCAAGTAAGAGTCTGGACATCGGCGACTACGTGTTCGAAAATAGCGACCGGTTTGTCGCGAGGAATTTTGTGCTCAGTTCGACGAGTTGTACACGCACACTGCGGCTGCATGACGAATTGTCGGCCCATACCACAAACGATACTTAGGTAGACAAGTTTTCATCGAAACCCCCGTCGTAAGCTTCCCTTGTTCTAATTATAACTTTTAATTGGTACGTGTGATTAATGTAAGAAACCGAAAAGAAATCCGAATATCCGATTGCACGGACGTCCTCCCCTCCCCCATCTGCTGGCCTCCCCTTCTTTGTAAGCGCGTACGATAATGCGATATTACACGCGCGCGTGAACGGATTAGCGCGCGACAGGAAGTTCTCGATTGTAGCAGGGTAAACGATATAATTCCGAGTAGTACTCTACGGGAAGGATCTGGGATAGATCTACCATCGTCGCGTCCCACGCTGTTTACCCTGCGACATTCGCGAGATCGTGCCAGCGCATTCAGTGCAAAACAAACGCAAGGATCGTAGACGCGTGCGTGAACATTATTCTTTTTTATTGCGTAAAACACACACACACATACATACACACAGAGAGACGTGCACAGACACGCGGAACGGCGGCCGCCGCCATCAGCGATCGCGGACGATCGGAAAATATGATTCATACCTATAAGCCGATTAATTTGCAAAGTTCAACGCGCACACACGGCCAACACGTAGATATTCATACAGGACTTCCGTGAAAATGCGTTATTTCGTTCTTTCTCTCTCTTTCTCTTCCTTTCTTTTTTCCTTTTTTCTGTTCACTCCTTGTTTTTTGTTTACCATCCCAGATTAATAGTTGTCACATTCCCGCCCAAATGCGCACGCCCGGTGCATGCACTTTTTGACGCGTGTCGGCGGTGCAGACGACTCGCCGCGATCGACGTCGCGCGGCGTCATGTGTGTTCGCGTTATACACGGGAAAAAACAGCTCCATCAGTGTGAATGAATTTTCTGTTGTTTGGAGACCAGATGGAAAACTCAGCTGCAGAAATGGAAAGATTCCTGCAGCGGTTTCTACTCAGATAATTGCTCTCGGTTATCTCGACCGAGTTTTAACACAACTGAATGTTCAGACGAATGTTTTCGGTCGCAGATATTATTTCTCATCAACTAATTTTCCATCTGGTCTTCATTCGATTAGTCGAACTGAAATTCTTTTTCTGTGTAAACGTGCGCCCACAATAAAACTTCTCGTTTAACATCGATATCAAAGCAGTAGACACGCGCCCGAAACAATAACCTCAACGGCACTTTAGCTTTTCCAACTCCACAGAGTAAAGAATATTTTATGTTGAACTATGTGGAAATTTAATTCTAACTACGTTAGATTTTTCATATATCCGTATATTAATTTAACATATTGTTATTCCGACTATCCTTGCGTTGGATTCATATTTGCCATTTTTAAACGTTGCGACAACACTAGTGTTCTAATGTTACATTTCAGTATTTGGTCAATAGACTAGATCCACAATCAGCTTAACAACAACATTTTAATATTAATTTTCACAAACATACTGTTTATGTAATTTATTTATATATTTGCCTTGCGTTGAATTAATACAAATATTAAAGTGGATAAATCGGGAAATGTGCTAAATTTAATACAAAATCTTTGACAGTGCACAAAAAAGGGAAGACGAGTCGCGCGAGTTGCCCGATTGAGGGATTTGTCAATAACAGTTTAATCTTAGACTTAAGTTTCAGCTTTATCTGAGCGCATCAAACGCGCATTGTCAGTAGAGAATCTAAAAATTGGAAATCTAAAGGAGGGCATGACTTTTAGGCGATTTGGGAATCATTAGGTGAACGCAAATTTCCTATTTTTTCCTTCGTATTTTTTCCCGTAGAATTTAAAAATCGACCTTAAAATTACGCCGAGTAAAGAGAAAAATAGTTAGACATTGAAATGTTGATTTTCCCTGAAAATCATGCATTTTCCAACACTGCCATCTTAAATACCTTTGACCTTTTTAAAGATACTAAATCTCACATAGGAAACTTATTTTCTCAACACTTGATAATGATATGAGAATATATTCTGAGCAGCAAAGAAAAAGCAGCGGTCAATCGGCCAAAATGGACAACTAATTTCGAGCTCTACCTTAAGCGGAGCGAATTGACCGGCGAAAGCTACTATATGCTTGAGAAGAGGCTCCTTATATGCTTTCGTTTATTAATGCCCTGAATAATCCTGAAAAAGCTGGACTACAAAATCATTTTTGTACTATTTTGATAGTTAGTAATATTTTTTTCATTGACTGCTGCTTAGAGTATATTCTCATATCATTATCAAGTTTTGAGAAAATAAGTCTCCTATGTAACGTGAGATTTAGCACCTCTAAAAAGGTCAAAGGTATTTAAGACGGCAGTATTGGAAAATGCATGATTTTCAGGGAAAATTAACGTTTAAATGTCTATATCTATTTTTCCCTTTACTTGGCGTAATTTTAAGGTCGATTTTTTAATTCTACGGGAAAAAATAGGAAATTTGCGATCTCTAAATCGCCTAAAAGTCATATCCTCCTTTGAATTATTACCGCAAAATCGGTCCTGAGAAGCCGGCGATTGTAGCTTGGCGCGAATGCCCTCCGCAGAGTCCGAAAAGTCTGAACGTGATGGACGAACGAGTGATTTCTTGGAACGCTTCCTCACCGTGACTCTTAATTACGTAATTGCCGCGGTTCACGATTATCGGCAATGAAGCGAGCCTAAACATTTCACGGCACCGCGCGGAAACGATGTTGCATAGTTTAGCCTTTGTGTTACGCTCTTTCCTCGCCGTGCACTTTTATCGACAGCAGCGTGCAACAAACACGACCGTTAAGCTCTTCCAGTCTCACGCTTCCCGACACAGAATCGATAACTTCCTACGTAACGGCGGCGAGGTTTCGCGATCATGGGGCTCGCTCGCGGGACGCGCCGCGTTTGTACGAGAAGTCGCGAGAACGTCGTGGAAAAAGGAAAAATGGAGAACGGAGGAAAACGCGCGAGAGCGTGCAGCAGCCGTTGTTCGTTTATGGCAATTTCAGGCTGCCGTAAATCGTGGCTGGGTTCCGCAGCGCGTCCCGCGGGCGATTTATCGGTAAATGTGAAAATCAAGCACGACAGTGTTGCGCGCGCGCGGGCGGGCGTCTAGGCGCGGAGATACGATTCAAAGGGCTGCGAAGAGAGAAAAGAGAAGTGGAAAAAAAAATTAAAAGGGACACTCGCGAATTTGAGCGAGGTTATTACAACACGCGCGCGCGTGTGAAAAGTTCCGTGCAATCGCGGGGGTGTCTCTTTGGCATGCAAAAGAGCCGTCGGAACTTTCAGGCGGAAGGTGAAGTTCCGCGCGCGAGTTTATCATTAATTCTCGCGACGTGCTGCGTCACGGCTTAAGAAGACGACACGTCATCGCTGCCGACGAGCACGAGGACCCGCACTCGTTGCGTATACGTGCAATAATACGTGATGTCAGCGAATATTCGTTTGCGCGCGCCCGGCATCTCTCCGAGCCTCAATTAACATCGGAACGAGCGAGAGGGAGGTCGTCTGGGAGGATGATCCGATCCTTCAATTATGA